ATTCTCCTAATTGATGGGATGACTAACTTAGAAAGAATGCATTCTGGACTGTGCTGATGTGGGTTGTGTCACCTGGCAAGCTGTGATTGATGTGAAGAGCTGTTTTATGGGGTAAGATAAGATAATAATTTGTGTCTCCAAATACTAGACTATACTGGTTCTTTGTGATCTGTGAACCATCCTTGGACGTAGGAATGGTGTCTAGGGGAGCTGGCTCTTCTCACCATGACAGGTTGTTATGATAAACTTATGCATGGCAACCGGGATGCGCTAAGGGGATGGGACTAGCCTGTGCGCCAACGGATAGGCTGAGTAAGTCTAAACCACGCTCAGCCTCTACTCTGATTGGCCAGCAGAGAGCGGGAACTGAGAACTGTCAAGAGTATTTGAAGAACAATCTGAAACAATGGATTAGTTCTCTGAGTGCCCTGCGAGGTATATCAAGTAGCCCGTATATACGAACGTCATATTTACCATTGAAGGTTTTGCATTAATTAAAATACTAGTATATCTTAGAAGTCGTGTTGACCTCTTTTGTTCCTAATACCAGATTTGAATTGACGCAACTTAACAATTGGTGACCCCGACGTGATCTGGTAAAGGGACTTCGCTGGGTATTGTCCGGCCCATTTGGTCACCTCTTTCATTGGACGGTGTGTTTCACAAAGAGTCCGGACTACTAAAAAAGGTAAGCAGAAACCTATTGTTATATAACTAAAATTCTGCACATTGGCTTTATCCAAATTATTTTTGTGAAACACCTGTCTGATGTAAGTGAACTAAATTATGAAACTATTATGAGTAGATAAGCACAATATTGTGACATGCAAACCTTTGGTGAATGTGATGTTAAACCATGGTACCAGAGAGTATTTGTGCTACCGGCAAGGTCCTGTGGAATATGGCTAGGTTCAGGAGACAATACTGACATCTATCGGCAAGGTCCGTAATTGCGAGAATACGGCTAAGTTCGGAGATACAGGGAATAATTGACTCAAGTAATTGCTATCAGCAAGGTTCTTAATTACGTCAGTACGGCTAGGTTCGAAGAATTACACCGGCAAGGTCCATAACTTCAAGGATATGGCTGGGTTCGGTAAATTTTAGATAATACTGGTGACTGGCAAGGTCCGTAACTTAGGGTTGCGGCTAGGTTCAGCAGAGTATTTTGAAGAAAATAGAAGCGGCTTTGTGCCCAAATAGATTGTGTGTGGAGTATAAGTGTGTCATTTATGACTGTATGACATATTTGACTGTGTGATAGGATTATGACTGTGTATTGTGAGTGAGTGCGATAACTGTGTACTATTTTTGCTGTGTGAAAACTGTATACTACGTTTAACTGTGTACCATTTTTGGCTGTGAATACAAAGAATATTTTAAAACAGTAAATAATGAGAATTACAATTAGGAAATAAAGTTTAAAGTGTGCAAACGTTAACAAAAGACACCCATATGAGGTACTATAAAAAGTTAGACAGTGCGAGTGTTGTCGTATGCATGAGAGTGTGAATGATAAACCTGTATACCTTGATAGAAAACTAATTGGGAATCAAAGACGTCTGTGGCTGTCCAAACTGTATAATTTGGGGATAACTGTTGGATTTGTGGTTACTCAAACCATATAACCCGTCAGTGACAATCGAAAACATAAAATGAAAAGTGATGAATGAGTGTGACTGAACTGAAACGTTTGAACTGATATATTTGAACTGTAACGTTTGATGTTTTGACATAGCATAATACTGGTTTTAAATAAGTAAATTGAAGTGATATGGTGTGGCGCTTGATTTGATATAACAACCATTGGTTAAATAATTGAAACACTTGGGTTTATTCGTTTAATTTACCATTTGATGTGTGGCGCTTGATTTGATATAACAACCATTGTTTAAATAATTGAAACACTTGGGTTTATTCGTTTGATTTACCATTTGATGTGTGGCACTGTAAGAATACTGCTTTCAAATAATTAAGGCTGAAATAATCTGGCGCCGAGTTTAACTAATTGGGTGGGAATAATAGATAGATGTACTTTAAATAACTAAATAACGGACGAATATTAGAAATTAAAACGAAAAAACATGACTACCAGTGGAGAAGCGGAAAGAATATTGAAGGCTCTAAAATCCACACTTGAAACAAACGGAGGGAAAGATGGAAAGGAATGGAGCAGGCGAGGAGAAAAACTCTATAGGGAATGGATAGACGATGGTTGTATACTGTCCCCCGATGGAGTGCCTGTAGAAGGCGAACCAGGGAGAATACTGGAGACGTTGAAACGGAAAACCCAGAAAGCAGAAGGCGAATGGAAAAATTAAGGAGAGCCCCGCAGTGGCAAAATTAAAGACGCAATGGAGAAAGCAAAGCTAAAGGAGCGGATTGGCCTAGCAATGCTTGGAAAATTGAAGAAACTGTGTGCGGAGAAAACAGGACAAAAGGAAAGCACCCGTTTATACCCACCCTTACCAACAGCGCCACCACCATATGACGACCACCCAAAAACAATGGCTCCGGTTCTGGATATAGCGGGAAAAGTCCACTTTCAACAAAGGACAGATGAGGAGGAAGAAGGAATGCGGGTCAGAAAGACCGATATGACTGACAGAAGGGGAGAAGTGAATGTACTTCTAAAAGCTGCAAGAGCGCTAGAAAAAGGAGTGTTTGAACTGAGTAGAATCGAGGGAGAGACGGGGAACAGATGCGGAACAGAAGGAGGAGGGAGTGTTGATGGTGACGCTGAGAGTGAGAAGGAAGAGAGAATGAGCCTAACTGGAGGAAACGTAAGGGGTGGTCTAGCCCAGGGGGAGTGGCAACGAAACAAGGATGCTGAAGAAGGGGAAAGGAGGGAGAGACTTGAGAGACAGAGAGATGAAGAACGACTGGAAGAGTTGAAGATGATAAAAGAGGAAGTACGACACCAGGAAGCACAATTGCACAAGTTAAAAATGGAGCTCAAAGCGAACAAAAACGGAAGTGAAAGTGAACGCTGACCAGTAAGGGGACACTGTATTGACCTCAGAGACGGGGAAGAGAGTGAGGAGGAAAGAGGGAAACAACAAAAACTCATATGTGGAGCTTTTGATGGAGACATATGGGACAACAATGATGGACCCGCATACCATACCCGAGCCAGGGCCCAGTCCAGAGAGGGACACAAAGGGGGGCAGTACCCGTTGAGGGAGACCCCAGGGGGGGCCTCAGTTTACAAGCCATGGTCCCACAGAGACATACAGACCCTGGTGGACAGTCTCCCCCAACCTGAAGAATCTGGACACAGATGGGTGAAGTCTTTTGAGAGTCTCACAGCAGCGGATGAACTCACCATAGGTGATATGGTTACTGTAATGAACAGGTGTATGGGAGACCAGGAATGCAGAGAGATAATGACCTCTGGGGGACTGAGAGGGCAAGTGGGGTCGGCTACAAGATTTGACCCCCACCGCAGTGACGTATGGGATGTCATAAGGAGGAAGTATCCTACCCAGGCCAGACCCGAACTGATGAGAACTCTGATATTGAATGACGATGAAACCATACCAGCATACATGAAGAGGGCTAAGTGCCTCTGGAGGCAAGCATGGAATGAAGAACCAGGAAAAGACACCATGAAGCACCTCTTCCTGACAAACTGCTTGGGGGGACTCCCGGATCAGGCTCGAGCTGAATGTGAAAAAGTTGTGGCAATCACCGCAAAATCAATTCCGGAATTTACCGAGATAGCACAACACCATGTGGAACGATGGAGAGAGGGTAAGCGAAAGGAAGAGGATGAACTCAAACAACTTCAGAAAAAGGTTCTGAAGAAGCAAACTGACAGAGGACAAGCCAGGAAAACAAATGGTGGTAACCAGTACCCCCAACATCTAATCCTACCACTCCTGCACCCGGAAATGATACTACTAATGCAGTTACTGCTGTAATACAGGCAATGACGGGAATGATGGCACCTTCTGGTCCTCCTGGATATGGTGCACCCGCATACCAGCAACCCTATGTACCACCACGACAACAGGGATACACCCCTAGATACGCTGACCAAGGGTGTTTTAACTGTGGGATGCATGGCCACCTGGCAAGACACTGTTATCTCCCAAGACAGGGACAACAAAGAGGGAGGGGTTACATGGGACAGTCCAGAAGACAAGCACCGAGATACCAGCAAGGATGGGGAAACTGGCAAGGAGGAGGAATGCCAGTCCAGCAGCACCAACCACCACAACAGCAGAACCGAAAACAAGACCCAGCAGTGCCTAACGCTGCCTTCCTGCCCAGCATGTCATGGCTGGGTGACGAACACAATTACCAATGAAGCTGCCCAGAAACCCATAAGGATCCCACCACCAACATTTACACTTTCCCACCAGGTTCAGAGCCGGTAGTGACATGTTTGATTGGAGGAAGACAACATAATATGCTGATTGATACAGGATGTACATGGTCTTCTGTACAAGCAACATATCAACTCACTACCAAAACACAAGCTTTCTCTGGGGTTTCTGGGGCTATTATGAGAAAGCCATACACAGTTCGATTGGAGGTTGTATGGGATGACCAACAGGTTACCCATCAGTTTCTATACAACCCGGAATGCTCAATGGGGCTCATGGGGAGGGACCTGCTTTCCAAACTGGGATGTAGTATCTATTGTAACCAGGAGGGTCTACATGCATCCATCACGCCCATAGATGATCTCATGCCAGTAATCATGAAAAAACTCTCCGACCCACCTCACATGCTATATGTGGGAACACACCTAAATGAGGAAGATGAGGAGGAAGCATATGTTTACTGGCTGAAGCTCATGGATACTGACCCTGATGCTCCCCGAGTATGCAGAGAGTTCCAATTATGGAAGGCCTGGATACAGACCTTAAATGCATACTATCCACCTGAGGACCCTCCGCACATGACAATGAACTATACTAGGGACTTGGATGAAGCATATGATGAAGCCTGGGAGGAGGGACGATAGGCGCCCGATTGTGACAAGCAATTATATGTGCATACTCAAAGAAGGGGTGGCTACCAGCTGCATGGTAATGGATGGAGACGTGGTGCTCACAGACAAATGGTTTGCTTCCTAGTGATTCTGTGCCGCATGTTACCCTTCTCGTGGGATTTGGATATGAGGCAAGATCTCTGGGACCAGCGGTAAAGGCAGCAAGTTGCCTACGGTGGAACAAAACCTCATGTTACAACGTGGAAAGCGCATTCCTTGAGGGAAATCAAGTATGGAGAATTAAACTCAATGTGGATGATGTGTGAGGAGGTTGAGGTGGTCACGTTACCATGGCAGGGAAATGACTGATCATCCGGATACTCCTAACATTTTCAATCAACTACCAGAGGAACTGTGGACAACAAGTGCTGAAGATGTGGGGCTGGTTGATGTAGAACCAGTGGTTGTCTCCATTCGAAAGGAAAGTGAACTCACTATCCCAGTTCACAAATCTCAATACCCTCTCAGTGAAGAGAAGATGAGGGGAATTGAGCCTACGATATCAGGACTCCAAAAAGGACAGGTTATATATCCAACCTGTGCTGCGTGGAATACACCCATCCTTCCAGTAAAGAAAGGTGACACTGGGAAATGGAGGATGGTGCAGGACTTCAGACCAATCAACGAAGTAACTGTACCAGATGTTCGACCTGTACCAGACCCATATCTGGCCTTACAGAACATTTCACCCACGCAAGATTGGTTTACAGTGGTGGATCTCGCCAATGCATTTTTCTGCATCCCATTACATCCAGAGTCCCAGCCACTTTTTGCATTTACCTACAGAGGGCAGCAATTTACGTATTCCCGACTTCCACAAGGCTATCGTGATTCCCCGGGAATCTTCAACGCTATCCTGAAGAGCCACTTGGAAGAACTAACATTACCTGAGGGGGTGACGCTACTCCAATACGTTGACGGTCTTCTGTTGGCAGCACCCAATGCTGAGTCTTGTTTGCAGGCCACCAAGTCCCTTCTCCGGTTGGTAGCCAAAAAGGGATACAAGGTGAAGAAAGAGAAAGTGCAGTGCTGTCAGAGAAGTGTCCAGTTCCTGGGTAGAGTGCTGTCAGGGAAGGGACAAGCTGTGTCTATGGCCCAGAGGACCTCCATCTTGGAACATCCCAAACCTACTACTGTACAACACCTTTTGTCATTTCTTGGCCTTACTGGATATAGCAGAACGCACGTGCCAGAATACTGCCTTAAAGTGGAACCACTGCGGGCAATCTTGAGAGAAGCAGGAAACAGAAACCTCACAGCAGTCCTTAAGTGGACTCCAGAGGCAGAGGCAGCTTTAATCCAACTCAAACAGACGCTGGCGCAGGCTGAAGCACTGTCCTTACCCGATTACACCACGCCATTCTGTTTGGATGTTTCTGAGCAGGACGGTTATGTACATTCCATCCTGTATCAGAAACAAAGGGGGGAAAGAAGAGTGTTACACTACTACAGCGCGAAACTGGACAACATTGAAACAGGACAAACTGACTGTGCCAGACACATGGCTGCCATTGCAAAAGCTATAGGTAAAACAGCCCACATTGTGATGAGACATCCACTTGAAATCAATACAGAACATGGGGTGACCGCTTTTATAGGCTCCAAACTTTTCACACTGTCCAGCAGGGGCGGCCTGTTCAATAGGGCGATATGGGCGACGCACTGCCAAACGGGAAAAGGAAGGGATTTTTTTTCTAATCAATTATATCACGGCAACAGTAGTTATCAGTGTTGTAATCTATACGTCTGATCTGCCACAGTGCCACACTGCCACTAAATGTCGAATCAGGCTAAAGTCGTGCTTCAAATGGCTCCCCCCCCTTTTGGGGCGATTTCAGTCAGGTTGAAAATCGCCCAGAAGTCTGTCATAGACTCCCATGTAAAATCTATTTTTTTCAAATTTCAGAGCCTTCAATACAATCTCAATGGGTGTCTGTGGGCTTGCACTTACGCGCTTTCGTCATACGTTACGTAACCATGAACGTAACTGAGAAAAGAGTGGATTGTTTGAAAGAAGTTCCTTTTTGTCGGCGAACAAATGAAGATAAATTGGCAACGAAACAATTAGGACCTCCCAGACCAAATTTAATAATTCAACAGGTTTCTACTAAAGGCGGAAAGTCCTACACCCGAGGATTTTCCAAAAATTGGTACGAACGAAAAAAGACATTGCCACTCACTCAACTGGATGACGAGGGATACAGGCTAGCTGTCCGCCGCCACAACGATGAGGTTAGTGTTGATAATCACAAGTTTACTGGAGAACCAACTGAGACCAAGTAGAGACTTTGGACAGGGTGGATATGGTGTAATAAAGGCAGTTTATTCAGAGGTAAATATATCTGGAATCGCGTTCACGGACCCGTTCGTCAAACTCTTAGGGAGCTATAACTTAAGCCCCATTACTTACCATATCAGATAAGAGAAATTGCTGCAGCTACATATATTTTACATCCTGGCCCTACATAGTTCACTATTTGCATCACTTACCAAAATATTACATGTGGTCATATATGCTTGGAAAGTGGAGATGCCATAGAACGTCAAAAAAGTAAACATTGCTGGAGACACATTGCCGTTTTGGAGAAGACATCGCGTTTGCTAGCGAAGAGATTTGTTGTGGCAAATGAACTTGGGCTGGGAATTGCCAGGAACCTCACGATAAGATATATGCATCAGCATTGCGAGTCTCATGATTCTATACGTATTGCGATTCGATACTGTGATTTTATTGCGCACCATATGTCTGTTGCAGAGGGATCAGAAAGCCATGAGAACGAGTTTTGATCAGTCATGGAAATAAAAGTGCTAAAAACAAATTGGCTCCCAATGTGAAAAGATTGAGAACAAGCTATGAAGGAACAATAATGGTGTTTTGGTGCAGGTACAGCCAACTAGCGCTAAAATATTGCGATATTGTCAATACAGTATATCGTAAAGTATCACTATGTAACTCGATTTCTTTCACCCCAATCCCTCAAATTAACGGTAAATAACTGAATTGTTTGCCCCACATTTAGCTAAGATGATTAGCTAGCCAGCTAAAATGTTTTATTTAGTTAGCAGTCGCATCTACAATAGTTTACTGTCAATAACATGTCTCCAAAAATGACGTGGTGTCTCCAATTGTGTTGACATTTTACAATTGCAATGCGCATCCATGAGTATCCACTTTCTGTAGCTCAGCTGGTAGAGCATGGTGCTTGTAACGCCAAGGTAGTGGGTTCGATCCCCGGGACCACCCATACACAAAAATGTATGCACGCATGACTGTAAGTCGCTTTGGATAAAAGCGTCTGCTAAATGGCATATTATTATTATTATTATTATTATTATTATCTGAAGAGAGCCCCGAAACATTGTGTGCAGACATTTTATGCAATAAATGAAGTAGGTTCAATCTAGTAGTTCTGATCTTCTGATTGGTCCTGATGAGTTGGGCGAGGTCACCTCCAGGCTACTGTCACTGTTGCATTGGCTCTGAGTCGGGTTCTCTGTCTTCAAATGTTCAGCCTAAGAGAGGGGATTTTTGTGTGTGTGTGTGTGTGTGTGTGTGTGTGTGTGTTTAACAGTGATGATGTGTGTGTGTGGTGTGTGTTTAACAGTGATGATGTGTGTGTGTGTGTGTTTGTGTGTGTGTGTGTCCTCAGAGCAAGAACTCGTGAGTTGGAAGAACTGAGAGGCCTATGGCGTGGGTGTTGTCCTTGGCCACCTGCTGACAAGGCTGACAAGATAGGACCCTTTTGTCCATTGTTATTGGATAGGAACAGAACTTATAACCAGCTCCTGACCTAAATAGATCTTAGCACAACATTTTACTCAACATATCATATTCCATATTCACTATAACAAATATATTTACTACGACATTAGCAAGAACCGCCACATCCTCAGCCGGCTAATCCAGTGTGTGAAGTTTTGCGGAGTGTTTGAGTTAGCTTTGCGAGGCAAAGATGAAACTGAGGGCTCCACCAACCCTGGTAAGCCAACACTTTTGAGATCAGTCAATAAATGCTTCTGGTATTGATTTATATGCTGCCCCTGTCTTCATGTTGTTGCTGGACATATCTTTTTTTAAATGTGTGTAGGTCACCTAAATCATCAGAAAAATTGCCCCTCCTGAGAATTTTTTCAGGAGCCGCCACTGCTGTCCAGTAAATGAAAATCCAGCATAACAAAGGCCATCACTGCAAAGCACATTACATATGTGACAACAGCAACAAATATGACCGATGGTATGGGTCTTGGAGAACCACATGTCTGTGAGGATAGAGCAGCCAAACAGATCAAAGTCCGAATGGACCTGCAAAACTCACCCTTGGAGGGGAACAAAATCACCCTGTTCACTGATGGATGCTGCTACAGGTCAAAGGACCCAAAGGAAGGAAACACTGCTGCCTATGCAGTGGTGAAACAAGACACAGAAGGAGGACATGAAGTAACGGAAGCAGAGAAACTTGGTCCCAATGAAGCTTCAGCACAGCTAGCTGAACTTAGGGCGTTGAGGAGAGCTCTACAACTAAGTGAAGGAAAGAATGTGGACATCTACACAGACTCTGCCTATGCACATGGGATTGCACACATTGATGGACCACAGTGGATGAGGAGAGGATTTGTGACCAGCTCAAATGAGCCCATTAAACACAAGATTGAAGTACAGAAGTTAATTGATGCAATCCAGCTTCCCAAACGAGTAGCAATAATGAAGTGCAAAGGTCACAGCAGAGAAAGCACCAGAGTGCGTGAAGGAAATTATCGGGCTGATCAAGCAGCAAAAGATGCAGGAGGATACAATGCCCAGCAGATGGTGCAACGAGCCACTCAAGGACAGGAGGAGTTGACGACAGACACAGTAAGACAGTTGCAAGAAGCAGCAGGCGCCTACGAACAGAATGTATGGAGCAGACAGGGAGCAAGGCAAGACCATCATGGGATTTGGAGATCTCACACAGGAAAAACAGTGGGACCTGCAAAACTCCTCAGATCAATCTTAAGGGAAGAGCATGAGAAGGCTCATGGAGGATGGAAAAGTGTCGCAAAATCAGTTGAGAAAGCATGGTGGCATCCACACATGTTGGACATGGCAAGAGAGACATCAGAGAGCTGTGAAGTGTGCAAACAATACAACAACAAAGTGTCACTTGGAGCAGTGATAGGCAGCTTCCCAATACCTGATGCACCATTTCAAGACATTTGCATAGATTTCACGGACATGGGACAGGACAACAAAGTGGAAGGAAAAAGGTACCTGTTAGTAATGGTGGACAGATTCACCAGATGGGTGGAAGCCATCCCCACAGCAAGAGAAGACGCAAAGGCCGTGATTAAGTGGCTGAGGCGAGACCTCATTCCAAGGTTCGGGGTCCCGCGAATGGTCCGTTCTGACAACGGTACCCATTTCAAGAATAAACACCTGAGGGAGGTAGAGCAGGCCCTAGGAATCACCCACAAGTTTGGGTCAGTATACCACCCCCAATCGCAGGGACTCGTAGAAAGAGCTAACCAATCGCTGAAACAAAAAATGGCCAAAATCATGGCCGGAACTAAACTGAAATGGGTAGATGCCCTACCCCTTGCTCTAATGTCAATGAGAAATTCACCTGGGTCTGATACCCACTTGACTCCACATGAGCTTATGACAGGACGCAGAATGCCAGGGCCACCAGCAGACAATCTTAGTATGCCTAGGCTAGATATTGCAAAAATCAGATACACAGACTACATGCAGGCACTAATTTCTCTTGTTGAAAGATTGTCCAAACAGGTGGTGGAAGTGCGCACTCCTGCTGTTGAAACCACGGACGAGAACAGAGACATCCTGGTGGGAGATTGGGTGAGAGTGAAGGTGCATTCCAGGAAGTGGACGGAGCCAAGGTGGGAAGGGCCTTTTCAGGTGAAAGAGGTATCAAGTCACTCGCTGAGGGTAAACACGAGTAAGAAGGACGTGTGGTACCACAGAACACATTGTGCCAAAGATATAGTTCCAGGAAGAACTCTAGATCAAGTACAACAGGACTTGGCTGCAGAAGGGGAGGATGTTATGGTTAGTAGCGGGGCTGGCCCTATGGGGAACAGTGACTTCCAGTCAGTATCATAATATAGTCATTACCTTACAGGAAGGGGAATCTCAAGTGATGTCCCTAGAACCATGTAAGATCTGGTCATGGAGGAATAGGGCTAGTGGAATTGGGGACACTGGTTGCAATTGGAACCAGAAGGAAAACTGTAACAAAATGTATCCCCATGTGTTAAAGAGAGGTACTTATCTGTGTGAGGGAAAGTGGTGTCCATATTGGGACTTTATGATTACAAATGTTGGCACCTTCTGGGAATGGCGTAGAGGCTATCCATATGCATTAGGAGATGCTTCTAAAGCAGCTAGGTTTTCAATGATAAGGGGTGTGCAGGGGTCAAAAGGGGGTGCATGTAAAGGCGATGAAATCCTACTAACCATCCAAGACATTAAACTTACAGATGCAGGTGTGTACACCTTAGCAGCAGTACGATCCGGACCAGACACCATGGGTATGTTCACCATCGTGGTCACACCCAAACCTGCAGCTGGGGAGAGACAGACCCAGTTGAACCACATCACCACTCCAGGACCAGCTCAGCTTCAATCCACTAAGGTACCAAACCCCGTTCAGGTGATTAATGTTAGGGATATAACGGACAGCGACCAACTGGGGACAGAAACTGGCTATGAAGGGAAAGAAAATATGTGGTTGGCATACATGAGGTATACGGCTAGGACACTGGTCAGGCAGAATTGTGTTATCTGTGGGCATGCAAGACCTGGGTTGGCAACCCACCCATTCGCTTTAGGAGAAGGGGAAGGATGGCAGTGCATATTGGAAGAGTTCTACCATTCACTGCCAAACACCACCCTGTGCAAAGCCCTAAGTTTGATTTTCCCTGAGGTTCCCCCACAAAAGGCACCTGCGGGAGATCAGGCTTATGGAGGTAATTACAGTTGCATCACTGGAGCAGGTAAGGGTGTTAACTATGGTAGGCTACCACCAGGGGACTGTGCTGTGAATGTAATCATGAACAGCACTTGGCCAGTAGAGGGTAAAACCCAGACAAAAGGGGTGGCTGATGTGTGGTGGATCTGTGGACCTAATAGAAAACTAACCCCGATTCTAAAGGGGGACTGGCAGGGCACGTGTGCATTAGCCAGTTTGATTGTACCTCTGACCATTATTGATGTTTCCTCAGACCAACTTTTGGGGATCGCCCAGCTAGCCCCAGACAGAGAGAGAATGAGGCGGGGGAGACGTAGTGGCCCATGGTCAGCAGGAGAGGAGATCCACTCTAACCTGTTGGGGGTGCCTGTGGGAGTACCATTACAGTTCCAGGCACTCAACAGGAATGATGGGTTGTGGCATTTGTTGCCAATCATAGGTCCTGCCATAGATACTGCTAAACAGCGATCTTGGATAAATTACATCTATTATAACCAACAGCGATTTGTTAACTACACACGCACTGCCTTGACTGGAATGTCGGAACAACTAGAGGCCACCTCTAGGGTGGCTAGGCAAAATAGACTAGCACTTGACATGTTGCTTGCTAACCAAGGGGGTGTGTGTAAGATGTTTGGGGAACAATGCTGTACGTTTATTCCTAACAATACTAGCCCTGACGGGAGTGTAGTGTATTAAAGATTATGACTTTCTTAATGGAACCAGAGGATGTTTATCTTAGTTCAAAAGTAGCCGTTTGTAGGGTGACGCCCCAGGGGAGACCGGTGATTGGACGGAAGAGGGAGTAACCCATATTCTGCCATTGTTTATAAGTATGGGCTAGACAAAGAGGGGGTCAGAAACAGACAGATTATTTTGGGACGCTGTTTCTCCAGACCCTGCAAGTCTGTAACTCATGCTGAAAGCTTGGGATATGAATAAAACTTATGATCCAGGTTCAGTATGAGCGGACTCCTTTGTTTGACAGCAATGAGCACCAGCATTCGACGCGACACGATAAATGGGGGCTCGTCCGGGATCTGCATGCATCGTTCTTTGTCCCATTCCTGAATCGCGAGATGACTACCGCTCAACCCGGCAAGGTGAGATTCCTCACAAATTATTGGGCGTTTAGTTGTTTGGCTGGTTTATGAAAGGGCACTGAAAGGTGTACCGTTTAAATTACTTGGGTTTTGTGCGGATGTGGTGCTATTGCGGTCGACTAGGAGTCTGTAATAATTATTCTAAAATGTGGTTGCATTGGTAAACGGTAAATAATAGGAAGTCTAGAACAATGGATTGGTAGTGAATAAAGGCAGGAATACGTATGCATTAGGGCACTGTACCATTTAAGACCTCGGAACGGGGCCATTTTAGGAATGGGCCGAAAATCCGGTTGCGCGTTAGAATGTGCAAGTCGGTGTGTTTTAAAGAAAAACTCGGGTTGATGGAATTTATCTGATTGTGATTATTGCTCGACTTTCATCCGATGGGGTGTCCGATTGGGGGGATCTCTCAGTAGATGGTCATTAAACTCACGGCATCACAAACGGTAGGAGAAATAGGCAAAAGGTAAAAAGGGCAGTGAAAGGTGCTTGTTGCGTGGTGCCAGCCACAGGTTAGCTAAAGGCTAATGCTAATGCTGATGCTAAATGCTGGTTGGGTTTCATGCCACATTGTACATAAAGGCTAAATGCTAAATGCTAATTGTGTTGCGTGCTACATGCTAACGGGTGTCCTTAGGGGTACCATTGCGATGGAATAAGCCTCTTAAATTATGTGTGTGTGTAGAATTCAGAGTTCTATGCGATATGTGAGCTCTGTTAATTGTTATGGTTTGACTATAAGTGTAAAATAGAGAGGCTGTGGTGGAATGCTGGCGTTCTATTGTTTGAGAACGTATTTTTGAATGTATCGCGCATGCGTGGGATTTTACTAGACTGGGCTGCAGGGGGAGACAGAGACACAGACGAGGGAACAAAGAGGAGAGATTTTAACACGAATCTTCTGGTTTAAAGCGGCTGTTGTTTGAAAATGAAACTATTTGTTGGGATGTAGTGAATTTATAAATTAGATATATGTTGACGGATTATAATGAATTAAATTAAATGACGGATTAAAATAAAAGAAAAATGTTTTTGAGCGATCTATTTAGTCCTGAGTTTAGTCTTAGAGCGAATGTGAACGAAGGAATATTGAATATGGTTGAAGTAACTCAGTATTGCATTAACTACTAAAATCTTTTTCTGTTTCTCTGTTCTTTTGTCATATGAGAGGAGCAATAGGACGATACGACAGGAGAGAGAGAGAGAACGAGAGGGGGTGCTGACGTACACGTCACGTGACGCGACAGAGGATCAAGTCAAAAAGGTTTTGGTACTGGTCTGGTTACAAAATCTTCCCCTACAGGATATTTGATGTTATGACAATTTCACATAGGCTTGGCAAATACTGATTCATTAAAAATTGCATTTTAGAGTCTCTGGCATCACTTGGATTTGATTGCAGTTGTGTTGGGAATCAAGGACTGACATTATTCTGTAAAATTTAAATAATTAGGTGCTTATAGAGCAAGGGGGTTTATGGGAATTGTAGTGTTGTAAGGTTAGAAGGCTTTGTTTTTGGGTTTGCTGTGAAGTTGACTAACTTACATTTACTTTCCTGATGGGTTGTGGTAAGATAGCCACCACTAATTGATAAATTGATAAGATAGGATATAGAAATAAAAAATTGGTTTTAATTATTCATAATTTTTAATTGATTTTTTTATTGATTTTTTATTTTAATTAGAAATGGTTTTTGAATAAAAAAATTAATTTATTTTTTTCATATTCATATTTTGGTTGATTGATTTTTTTGGTGTTTAGGGTTATATTAATAATTAAAGGGGGGAAGCCATAGGCTATATAGGCTAAAATAAAATAATTCACAATAAAGGAATATAAAAGAGTAGTTATAATGGGGAGAAAGGACAGCAAGGCTATGAAGGTGATTACACCTGTTGATATAGTACAAAATAGTAATCCTTTAACTAAAGTATTGCTAGGTTATCCGGCAAATGAAACAAAAGTTGCCCTTCATTCTCAAACAAAAACTGATAAAAGATTCCAGCGATAAGATAAACAAAGGTATAGAGGAAAATGCTAAAGGAAGAAAAGGCGACAGAAAAACTAATGGCAGAAGTTAGTACACCTTTCTCACATACGGATTCAGCAAAAAGACACCCACCTTATGAGAAGGAAGTAGAGCTTAGGGATGCTTATCCTCAGCTTCCAGTGATCATCCAGCAGGGTGATTATTGCATCAGAGATGAAGATGAGCGAATAATAGATAGAGGACAAGCAGAAACGACGATAAAGATGAATCCAAAACTCCAGAAGGAAGAAAATGAGATGTCTGGAAGAGAAGAGTGAGGTTAAGGAAGATGGAACTTGAAGAAGATGATGAAGATGAAGATCAGAGTGATTGAGAAGAGATCATGGGTGGATATGACTCTGTGATCAGAAGGAAGTTGGCAAGAGAGGAAAGAAGGATACTAGAGATTTGATCTCTGATGGAAGTTGAAGGAAGAAGGATACAAGAGATTCGAGTTCAGATGAAGACAGCGATAAAGAGGAGACTAAAGGTGCTGTGTATTCAAAAGGAGTTTATCCTACAATGACTAGCAAGGAAGAAATAGAGATATAGACCGATGCTTATCATGCCTGGATAAAGCGAATAGTTTAGAAGAAGTAACACAACTGGATGAACAACTCAAGAAGAGAAGATACAGAAGGAGAAAACCTGCTGAGAAAATAATCCCAAGAATTGGAGGAGAAGAATACATTGAGGTCAAGGAAAGGCCAATAGTAAGAAGATGATGGAAGATGATATTTCGAGGACAGAACTTAGAATATAAGCTTTTGAAGAATCCTGATATGTCAACAGCAAGAAAGAACAGGATCAAGAAACTCTCAGAAAACTCAATCATACAACTGGTGGAGAAGAGAAGCTTTGGTTATGAAGAATCAGAGTGAACCAAATCAACAATCACTGCTACAGCTTCAACTGAACAAGGCCAACCGCAATTGTACCAGCCACCAAGGGGGGTACCAGGTGTTTCATATCCACAGCCAGTTTCTGGACAGACACA